CTACATTTTTTATTGGATCTCAGAAAGATCTCTATTTTCTAGGTTGAGAGAGATAGAAGAGAGGTTACATGGGTTAAAGGCATCCACCATATCAAAACCACCTGTCTTAAAATTTAAGGTATGTATGTTTGAGAGGTTTTTACTCCATGTTCTACTTGCTGTACAAATCCACCTGCAATGAGTCATTGCTTCCTTTTTTCTTTCCCATGTCCCTAAGACAAAATGTTGATAGAATAATTGGAATGTGTTGGATGAAGTGTGTATACATGTGTGTAAACATGTTCTTCTACTCATCTATTGCTACTATTTATTGTAATTATGTGTTTGTAATAAGCTTAGAGCAACCTGGGCTAATGGAAGGTGTCCCTTCCCATGGCAGGGGTTGGAACTAGATGGTCTTTAAGGTCCCTTCCAACCCAATTCTCTTATATATGTTTGTATTTAATTATAGGTGAACATGTATCTAAATACATGTAGTTTATTAACCTTTATGTATATTATTACACACACACGACTCTGGGAAGGTGAAAGCCATTTGGCAAATGACATCAATCACATATCTTAAACAATTTCTTTTCTACTTCACTGACTAATCCATTCTCCTTGGGGACGACTTCTAACATGTCACATCTCTGAGCAAATCTGATTGAATTTCCTCCAGCTGTGGATTTTCCTTCCAAATTGTTCCAGCCTGACAGTTAGCACACTTCTAGTCTCATGAAGCAGATTGCTTGCTAATCAGCTGTACAAATTGCTAGAACTCCTTATCATTGGGGAAAGGCATTTTCCAGCTTTTTGGTGGGATGTGCAACACTTTGTAGTTGCTTGACTCAACCCTGAAATATTAAACCATAGAAATGTGACTTGATATATGAGGATTAAGTGGATTATTGTGTCTTAACTTGCCATTTTTCTTTCCTTCTGAGCTCAGAAGGACTCCTAGAAGCCAAGGTCAATCTTGAGCCATAAAAAAGAGGAAACGAACCATAATTCACTTTGTCACAGCCTTCTTCTTGTCATCCCTGCTTGAAAGCATATCTGAGGCTATTATCTCTGCCATCAAGGAAGCTCGAGTCAGGCTGATACTCCTTCAGCTCTGAGAAAGATTATTCTTCACTCAGTTGTGTTTAAAGTTGTGTTACGCTTTTTAGAGGGAGTGGAAGGAAAGAAAGGCGGAAGAAAACAAGACTTTAACTGAATAGATTAGATAATCTTCAGGTAGTTTTCCCATTGCAGTACATCCTTTTTCTTGCCCTTACTGGCAGGAAGATGTTTTATTTCTGTGAAGATTCAAACTAGTGCCTCCCATGGCTTGAGGCAGAGCTCCTGACAGAGAGACACTTTCCATGAACATGATGGCAAGGGAGGATTCCAGCTGGATGGCTGAAATCCAGCAGCTCATCATCAAGCCAATCCAGCTTCCCCAGGGTAGCTGACTTGTTGAAGAAGCACTAAGTGCTTTGTAGGTACCAACCATCTGCCCCTTGGCTCTTCATGGCAGACCAGAGCATTAGTTTGATCAGGAGTTGCTATTCCCCACAAACATGCTTGATCCACGAATTCCTTTGGTCTGTGTGATGCAGGAGACTCTGGTCCTTGGTCACTGATCTCTTCAGGCTGTGTCACACAGCAGAACAGGCATGTAGAGCTGTGATGGGAAAGGCTGGATGCTGTCCATGTGTTGCTTCTTTTATGGACTGAAACAAATTAAGCTTCCCAGGGTGAGACAGCGTCACTGGTCCTATGTGAAGGAGAGGTTAAGCTTATTTGATGTTGAGCAAGCACAAAGGTTGTTTTTGGCAAGGCAAGTGCAAGAACACATACAACAACTTACTGTGTAATCTAATATTAGAGGAAATTACCTGTGTAATCAACTGACTCTTTGGGGAGGAAAAAAAACCCACAAAACATGAAGATATGGAGTGTCTTGTACTCTAAGACTGTACTGGACAAGCCACCAGAATGGGAACTTGAGGATGAACTATCTTTGTCTCTCTTCTTCTGCTTCACCTCAGATGCATAGTTGAATAAACTGCTAAATCAGTAGGAGCTGTGTGGGTTAAAAGCAAAGCTGACACCCCATTATAAAGGTAAAACTTAGGAACACAGCCTAAGGAATTGGAATTAAAGGCTACAGGGGCTGAAGAACATGGAAACATGGGAAATGGTGTGATACCAACCCCTGTGTGTATGAAACTAACAGTGTTGTAAGGTGATTTTCAGTCACAGTAGGGTGCGGAGGGTAGTATGTACCTCAGTTTCTTCCTAGTACTGAGATGGAAATTCATTTAAATCTGGCCTTGCAATGTGCTGCCCCAAATCGTTTCAGGATTCCTTAGCACTTCTCATTCACCCAAGGTTACAGAAACTCTGCTGGAAGAAGCTCCAGCTTGTACTTCTTGTTCCTTTGTCCCCCCACACGTACCAGTGCACACAAGAGCTTCGCTGCCTCACTTCTGTTGACTCATTCAACTTTTCTCTTATTTAATTCTGGAAATACTGCAGTCTGAAGTTGAACAGATTATTACTTGGCTCAGCTTCTGCTGAAAATTACAAATAAATTCATTAAGTCTTCTGTTTATGAATCATAGCCAGGAGGAAAGGGCTGCACTGAAAGGTCATGTTCGTAAACATGTCTCCTGATGTTGAACATTTACAGGAATAGATGGGACCTGCCCCACTCCTGCTTCTAGGACGAACACAGAGATGAATAAATGTTTTCTGGAAAGATTTTAGTCCTTTCTCTAAGGATTTTAGTCCTCTATTCCAGTAGGTTTCATCTCACAGCAATCTGATCTTCAGCCACTTTCCCACAGCACTGAGAGTCTAATGGCTGCAATTTAAAGGACTTCGTTTTTAGAATCATAGAATTATTAGGCTTAGAAAAGATCTATTCACCTATAACCATGTCCCTATCTACACAGCTTTTAAAACCCTCCAGAGATGGTGACTCCACCACAGCCCTGGGCAGCTGTGCCAATGCTGGACAACCCTTGCCATGAAGGGGAAGATTTTTAGCATTCACTGCGTTGGTATTGTTCTGGTGCCACCCAGTAAGCTTGGTACTTTTGACTTTGTAAGCTGGAAGACCATGTTGAAAGGCTTTTGAGTGCAAGAAAACAGATAGCTAAGAGCAGTGCCCTCCAAGAAAGCCTCTGCCTGTGGACACTGAATCTTGTGTTTATCAATAGAAACACTGGAACAAAAGTGGAAAAAAAGCCTCACACTGTGTAACCACTGAAACCAGTTACCTTTTGAGGTTTTTCCCAGCCTCTACTTGCTTAAGACGAATTCATGAAAGCATCTTTTGAGCACCTGCTCAGTGTGTGCTGGCAGGCACTGTCTGATTTCTTCCTAGGGCAGAAAACCCATCCCTGTGAACTTCAGATGCTCCACACAGGACTATCAGATGGACAGGGTTAAAGGTTACTTATTCAATTTCAAGGATTGTATTGTCCACATCTGTGTCCATTGTATTTAAGGACGAGAAATTATTTTTTAATTTTTTTTTTTCAAACTGCCAAAATGTAAGGTCTGTGCAAAGCTTGGTTGTAAGAAAAACTGAAAACTCCCCATAAGGTGCAGTGTGAGCTCACAGCCCAGAAACAGTGTCCTGGGCTGCATCCAGAGGAGTGTGGGCAACAGGTAAAGGGAGGGGATTCTCCTCTGCACTGCTCTTCTGAGCACCTGGAGTTAGAGATACTGTCGTACCTACAGTACAGTTCTGGCATCCTTCACATCAGAAGGACATGGAACTGGTGGAGCAAGGCCAGAGGAGGCCACAAAGCTGATCAGAGCACTGGAGCACCTTCCCTACAAGGACAGGCTGAGAGAGTTGTGGCTGTTCAGCCTGGAGAAGAGAAGGTTGTGTGGAGACCTCAGAGCAACCTGCCAGGAGCTGAAGGGGCTCCAGGGAAGCTGCAGAGGGACTCTTGGGTAGGAGCTGCACTGACAGGACAAGGAGTAATGGGGAGAAATTCAAAAAGAGTAAATTTAGATTAGACATTAGGCAGAAGTTTTCCCTGTGAGGGTGATGACACACTGGCACAGGTTGCCCAGGGAGGCTGTGGCTGCCCCAACACTGGCAGTGTTCAAGACCAGGTTGGATGAGCCTTGAGCAACCAGGTCTAGTGAGGATGTGTCCCTGCCCAGGGCAGGCAGGGTGGGACTAGATGATCTGTAAAGTCCATTCCAACCCCTTAACAAACTATGATACTATGAAAAGCAAGCAGCTTTGCACTCAAGTGACAGTATAGACACAGCAGTGCTTTGCTGCATGTGACATTGCACAGCCATGCTGAAGACCTAGATTTTCCTTTTTCCATTGTATGAGGACATTGTTTTGGAAGGAAAGGTGGAGTACCATTGCCAAGTCAGAGGAGGAGGAGGAGTGTTTTGTGCAGTGCTGGAATCTGAGAGATGAAACAGAGCATTATTCCTACACTCCCACTCCATGTGCTGGCACGTAGGGAAGGCACATGAGATTCCAAGCATCCTTCATGTGCATCTAGTAAGAATTCGGCGATTTCTCTAGCTGAATTCTTGGTTCTCTTGGTTACAAGTAGTCTTGGTTGAGTAGCAGCACACTAGGAGTTGCCCAGTTGTAGTGCCCTGCACACTGGATGCTACTAGGGAACGTTGCCTTGAAGTTCTGATAATGGTAACCCTAATTTTTCATATAAGAAAACAAAGGATAAGATGTAATTTTGACTTAAGGAAACATTTTACCTCTGCATTTTATATTTGATGTTTTTAGGAGGTGATGTCTGAGGCTTCAGAATGGGATACAAAGCCATTCACCTCTAGGTCACTGTTCAATGCCAACCTCAGGTTGGTGATAATGACCCCAAAAGTTGTTACCACTGATGTACATTCAGTGATCTGGGTGAGATGTGTCAGCAGCTGCAGCTCAGGTTTGTGTGGTTGCCTCTCAGTGTTGGAGGCAGGACTAGAGCAAGGTCATAGTGGCTTTGGGTGGCATAAGAGTCACTCAGTGTGCTCTACCTGTTCCTAATGTAGGACATGGTGGCACTTGTGACAAGCACCATTCTGTTCACTTAACAGCAAGTGTTTTTAAGAAGTGTGTGGAGCAAAAGAAGTCATGGAGTACTTGGTTAGGGTAGGTTAGGATTAAGGAGATGTGGGAAGCTTTGGGAAAGTTCATTAGAAATCAGACTCATGTTTCCTTAGTGTCTTCCAAATTCTTCTTGCTCCAGTTTTTCCAGTGGCGGTAGATCTCTTTGAGTTCAAATATCCAACTTGCTTTTTGGTTTTCCAACTATGTAGTATCATAATCACAGAGTCATTAAGGTTGGAGAAGATCTCTGAGGTCATCAAGTCCAACCTATGACCTAACACCACCATGGCAATTAGACCATGGCACTGAGTGCCATGTCCAGACTCTCTTTAAACACCACCAGAGTTGGTGACTCCACTACCTCCCTGGGCAGCACATTCCAGTGTCTAATCACCCTGTCTGGGAAGAAATTCTTCTTGATTTCTGACCTAAACTTCCCTTGGCTCAGTTTAAGAGAGTTACAGGTTATAACTCTCTTCTCACAGCCAAGGGAAATGGGAAATTTAACCTTCATGTTTGGATGTTCTAGTGATTGTCTCCATTTAGACTGACTAATATTATCCAGCTCCCTCACTGAACTTGAGAAATCAGTTGAGAGAGAAAACTCAAATCCAGCCATGTTAGCATTATTTCCATCCTTATTAACATGGGTGAAATCTCTCCTTTAGGTTGAGAATTTCTTCTGTATGGGCTCTCCCCTGGCAGTGTTTCTGGCCCTGCGTGGTATCCGCCCGGGAAGCAGTGGCAGCCAGGACCATATTCTGCCCAGGACGATTTGTAATCGCTTATTAAACATTTTTCATCCCACAGATCCAGTGGTGAGTCTGAATTGCAGTTGTAAGCTGTTATCTTGTGCCTGTTTTTAAGCATCAGCTCTGTGTGAGCTTCAAAATGTGTGTATCGAGTATGTTCCAGCAGGGGACAATTTGTTAATGATTATTGTACAATGGCTTTTTGGAGCTGTAGAATAATACAAACCAGTAATTGCCTTAAATAACATATATTTTGCTTCTCTTTTCATATTCATAAGCATAAGGTTTGAGATTATTCTGATTATTTTTATTGCAAAGAAATAATCCTTTTCAGTTAATGGTTTGGGGTTTAATTTCCTGACTTCATCATCTGTCCAAAGACACTTTTGCTGTTAAAAAAGGCTTCACAAAGAGGTTACAAGATACTGTTGAAAAAAAATACAGTTTTTTTCCCAAATGATCCTGCATAACTTATCGTTAGAGGGTGGATAGTACTTGGGAGAGTATTATTGCTGGAGCTTTGCCCTGTCCTGATACTCTTCCACAGGCAGCCAGTGTTGGTTTATATCAAACCAGGGTGATGAAACTTTGACCTGCATCACCTTAGCAACTTCTTTCATGCAACCTTGATTTGGAATTTCATGTAGAATAGTCACTTGGAGATGCTTTTGTATTTAAAGTGCCTGAATTTAACTTTGTATTCAGAGTTCAGTCATGCTGATTCTGTTCAACTCAAGGTTGTGTTCAGCTCCAGCTGCTCCAAACCCAGAATTTTCCTGGGATGTCTGAGATGATTGGTCAGTCTGTGGTTCCATTCTGCAAGTAGTACCTTCACTTAGTTTTAAGATAAAAAAGTGCTGAATGCTTTTCTACATTAAATAAACAAAGACAACTAAAGAATCTATAGAACATTATGTTTTTAAAAAACACAGTTCAAGGTTGCACAGAAATCACTGAAGAGTCATCAAACAAAATGTTTTCACAGCCAGTTCCTCCTTCTGTTGTGAATCAGCTTGACTGGATATAAAGTATATAAAATACAAATATTAACTGTATATTTAAGTAGATTAACTGCTTATTAAGTGTATATATGCTCTGCCAGGGCATAGTAACAACCATCTGGTAGTAACTTGTGTGTTCATAACAACCTTGTAGGACAAATGTTGCAGAGATATGTGCAAAAGTGAAGGCACAAGCAACTGGGGCAGGGGATAAATCTTCCAGGCTGTGAAAAGGAAATGAATCAGACCGTAACAACACCATTGTGTCACTTTTTAGGCTTTGTTTATTATAGATATTTTGGCTTTGAGGTTGGAGAGGACTCTAAGGGAAGGGAATGTGATTTATTCCATCTTGTAGCTCAGGATGTTGTTTTCTGCATTCCTTTCTCAGGCCTATAGGTTAGAGCCTTTAATTCTGAAACACTACAGCAACATTTCGCCCGTGCAGATCCACTGGTACAACACAGCAAACCCTCTCCCTTATGAGCACATGAAGCCAAGTTTTCTCAACCCAACAAAAGAACCTACCTCAGCTACTGACAGCGAAAGTGCTTCGACAGTTCCGAGCCCTACCACGTCCCCAGTCATGGTCCGACGGCACTATGGGGAGTCCATCACGAACATAGGCAAAGCAAGTATATTAGGTGATTGGCTTTGTGTCCTTGGGTTATGGCTGGGAGGTTCTGGTGGAGCTTCACTGCTCTGTGCTGTTGAGGTACAACCATAAGGAAGGTGCCATGGAGCCAGGCTGGGAGAGCTGGGGGTGTTCAGCCTGGAGAAGGCTCCCAGGTGATCTTAGAGCCCCTTCAAGTGCCTCAAAGGGCTCCAGGAGAGCTGCAGAGGGACACAGGAATGGAGTGCCAGGACAAGGGGGAATGGCCTTAAGCTGAAGGAGGGTAGGTTTGGGATAGATATTGGGAAGAAATTCTTCTCTGTGAGGACAGTGAGGCATTGGCACAGGATGCCCAGAGAAGCTGTGGCTGCTCCATCCCTGGGAGTGGTCCCGGCCAGGTTGGATGGGACTTGGAGCAACCTGGGCTGATGGAAGGTGCCCATGGGGGTAGGGGGTGGAATGAGATGGTCTTTAAAGACCTTAAGGTCCTTCCAACCCAAACCATTCTATGTCCCCAACACAAGAAGGACATGGAACTGTTAGCAAGTCCAGAGGAGGTCACAAAGCTGATCAGAGCACTGGAGCACCTTCCTTACAAAGACATGCTGAGAGGGTTGGGGCTGTTCAGACTGGAGAAGAGTAGGTTGTGTGGAGATCTCAGAGCAACCTGTCAGGAGCTGAAGGGGCTCCAGGAAAGTAGCAGAGGGACTCTTGGTTAGGAGCTGCAGTGACAGGGCAAGAGTAGTGGGGATAAATCAAAAGAGAGGAATTTAGATTAGATCTCAGGAAGAGTTTTTCCCTGTGAGGGTGATGAGACACTGACAGAGGTTGCTCAGGGAGGCTTTGGCTGCCCCAACCCTGGCAGTGTTCACAGCCAGGTTGGCTAAAGCCTTGAGCAACCTGCTCTGGTGGGAGGTGTCCCTGCCCAGGGCAGGAGGTTGGGGCTGGGTGATCTCTTGGGTCCATTCCAACCCCTATGATACTAAGCTGAAATTTTGCCAATAAATGTTCCCTGCAGGAAACTCAAGCTCACAGGATCAAGTTGCTCAGAAGTTATCAGCTTATATTCTGACATATTGAGGTTAAATGTCCTCTGCCCTTCACAAACCAAATTAAAGGCAGGGTTAGGAATGGTCATTCATGGAGTGGCAGAATGATGGTCAAGCAACTTGAGAGGAAGCCAAAACCCAGACTGTCCATGATCCTATTCCTTCACACAGTCAGAGAATTGTTGAGATTAGGAGGGTCTTCTGGAGATCATCTAGTCCAACCCCCAAATTCACTACTAGCAGAGGATGGTTTCAGTGTGTTCTGTGCAGTTGTGTGACTTGCTTTCATCCCAGCTGGCATTTTATTTGAAGAAAAAACAGTTTACATGTGCTGGAGTCAAGGCTTGTGGGGAGATGATGTAGTTTATTCTATCGCTGCCTTATTTTTGTCTGCCTCATTGAAGTAACATTCTGATGATTTAAGAGTTTCCACTGTACTTCATGGGAAAAAAATGAAATTAAAGCTTTTCTTCTGACTACGTTTTCTGTTATTGGCATATAGGGGAAAACTCACACCATGTAAGCCACTACAGTTACATTTAACTTGTGATTTTACAATAGGAAATTCAGGCTGGTTTCATATAAAGCTTGATCCCTTCTGGCTTTCTGAGTCAAAATAAGCCCTGGTTTAAGTGAGCTTAAACTCCTTCACTGGAGCTTATATTTGAGCATGTACTTGCAGTTTTTGTTGACTCAAGGCTTTTCTTTAGCTCTCTGTGTGGGATTTGGACAAGGCCTAGTGCCAGGAATCTTCCCAATCAAAGCAGTAAAGTATCTAAAAGCAGTTTAGTCCTCGAGTCGAAATATGTGGAATTTCAAAGCAAGGGAGGCTTTTGGGGGGGGTTTTCTATAGTAACTTGGATGTCTTGTCCATGAGGTGGCAGCAAAGTCGGGATAAAACGTGATATAACTGCTCTTAACTTTTACATCCCTTTTCCTCAGCAACCAAAACAGACGTTTTAAAGGGTGATAGAACAGCTTTAAATGCCTGTCAAGGTGATGCCAACTTAAGGATCCTTAATAAGAGGAATATCTTAAATATCCTGATGGAATTCGTAAGTGCAGGAGGTGCCAACATTGTTCTAAAGCATTTTAGTCTTGGTTTTTTTGTGAAAGAGGAATTACAACATAGCCATAAAAGCACCACATTTATTGCTGCAGAATTCTTCTCATGTAGTTTTCCCCCTAACTAGCTTCCAAATTATAGCTTTGGGTAGTCTCAGGATAAACAGTACACACTTCACTCACATAAGCTCTTCCTACTCTAGAAGAGCACAAAGTGTTTTCCATCACCTGTCACTCAGCTCTAATTAATGGGTGCAACAGTGACTTTAATTTGCAGCTTGATTTATGCTTCCTGGGTTTTTTTTTTTTCCTCTGTGCTGGATGCAGGAGCTGCAAGTATTGGGAAGGGCCTTGGTGGGATGCTGTTCTCCAGGTTTGGTCGTTCCAGTGCAACCACACCACAGACCCTCGAGACAGGGAAAGACGGCGCCGAAGGGGAGGACAAGAAAGCCACGACTGTGGGGACACCACCTCTGCCACACAGCAGCTCAGGCTTTCTGGAGCCCACAAGTGAGTGGCAAGTCCTTATGGACCTCAGGGAAACAAGAGCGTGGAAACATGTGTGTTGTTGAGGGCTGGAAGTATCATAGCAATATGTGACACTGTTTAATGTTGATGGTTTGCTTTAATATTGAGTATCAAGGCCAGGCTGGATCAGACTTGGAGCAACCTGGGCTAGTGAAAGGTGTCCCTGCCCATGGCAGGGGGTGGAATGGGATGGGCTTTAAGGTCCCTTCCAACCCAAACCATTCTGGGATTCGTTGAGTCTATTCCTGTGTTCAAAGGAGGTTTATCTGTGTATGTGTTCGTACATACATGTACACCATGTCTGTGCCTATGCCTGTATGAGTTTGGGCTAATGAGATCTGTGTATCAGCAATTACTAGTCTTCCAATAGGAAAAGCAATATATATAATTCCTGCAGAGAATCCCACTTGCCATTTATTGTAAAATGGATTTATTTAATCTCATAGAGTGGTTTAGGTTGGAAGGACCTTAAAGCTCATCTCATCCCACCCCCTGCCATGGGCAGGGACACCTTCCACTAGCCCAGGTTGTTCCAAGCCCCATCCAACCTGGCCTGGAACACTTCCAGGGACAGAGCAGCCACAGCTTCTCTGGGCAACCTGTGCCAGTGCCTCACCACCCTCACAGTCAAGAATTTATCCCTAATCTCTAATCTAAACCAGCCTCTGTTGCTTTAAACCCTTTTTTTCCCCCACATATTTCCAATTTCCCCATACATTTCCAATTCTGAAGCAATCTGGATTTAAAGACACATATGACTGGAAACAGAAGCTGCCCTTGTCCTTGTCTGAACCACCCAGAACAGAAAGTGCAGCTGTTTTTTAGGTATATAGGTACTTTCTTTAAGTAAATTCCTACTTGATTTGATTTCTGAGCTCCTCACTGGCACCAGTGGAGCTTCACTGCTCTGTGGTGTTGAGGTACAATCATAAGGAAACTGCTGTGGAGCCAGGCTGGGAGAGCTGGGGATGTTCTGCCTGAAGAAGAGAAGGCTCCAGGGAGACCTTAGAGCCCCTTTCAGTGCCTAAAAAGGCTCCATGAAGGCGCCCAAAAAGGGCTATTGAAGGAGTCACAAGTATGTTGTAGCTTGTGACAGCAATCACATGATGCATTGCTGTCTGCTCATCACTGATTTCAGCAGATAACCTGTCTGAGTCGCTGCTTGGGGACAAGAAACTTAGTTTTAGACTTGAAGGAAACAGAGAGACAGAACTGAATATTGCTGAGCTGCCCATGAGGTCCTTTCAGGGGGGTTTGACTTTCTGCATGGATCCCATATCCCTCTGAGCTGCAAGCCCTTCCCTGCTCCATAGAAGGAGACCGTGGAGCAGAGGCCAGTGAGGCTGCAAGCTGAATGATGCAACCCCAGCCAAAGCCTTTGCTTCTGAGAGTGCAGCCACTGCCTTGTGGTGAGGCCTGGCTGCCACCCAAGCTCCTGTCACAGCCTCTCGGAGGCGGTCGGGACGTCCTTCCTGCACAGCCACTGGCCTGTGGTGCATATATGCTGCTTCTTGGAAATGACTGTGGTTGTGTCCTGGTATTCACAGGCTCTGACTCTCTCTCCCTGCTGCAGAGAGGGTGATGCTCCTAGGAAAAGAGAGCTGTGTCATTCCGTGCTGTGCTGACACTTGTGTGATGTTCCCTTGATATGCTCCTTGAGCCAGGAGTTAAAATTCCTTCAAACTGGCTTTGATAAATGGCTACAGTTTTGATTCCATATGGGGGTTTGGCTGTTGGAGCTGAGCAGGCTTTTATTTCTTTGTCCTTTTTATTCCATTGCTCCTCATAGATGTTTTCTGACCACTAAAGGGCCTTAACAATAGATTAACTATTGGTGCAGTTAAAACGTGGTGGAAATTGCTTTGAATGTGGCATTAATCAAAGCAGCCCTTGAAATAAAAGGGTAACTGCTGAAATATATTTGGAATAATCGGGATATTAAAAGGACTGTAGCTGTGGAGGGATTGACTTTGCAGAAAAGGCTTGTAGCAGTGGGTGTTGTCTCCTTGTAAAGGCACTTAAAGATGTGAGAAATCCATTGATTTCAGGAAGGTCTGAGCATCCACCCTCTGAGAATCAGTGTCCATGCTCTGAAAATCAGTGTCCACCCTCTGACAATCAGAGTTTCCTAGTGAGGCCTCAGCATTTGCTGCATATTTCTCTGTAGTTATCATAACAAATACAAATAAATGTATTTATATAGTTACTGTAAGGAAAACAGCTGCTTAAAACATGCCAGTTTTCCCCAAGCTGTAAAATCACACAGTCATTTAGGCTGGAAAAGACCTCTAAGAGCAGCTTTAGTTTCCTTTTTGGCTTTTTTTCCCTGCACTCAGCACCACTCTGAGGTCAGGTTTGTGCTAAACTCAATGTGCCTTCAAATGAATTTATATATTCATGTTTGATTTAGCTATGAAATGTAAACACAGAGATGTTAAATGTATTGTATATACAACAAGTGGAATCAGAACCCAAAGCTGACAGCAAAACAGGCTGATGTTTTTACAATCCTAACATCATTGTTGTTTCTTGTTCCTTTCACAGTGGAACTGGAGCACAGGATCGACTTTGAGCTCAGGGAAGGTCTCGTGGAGAGCAGATACTGGTCTGCAGTCACCTCACACACTGCGTACTGGTCCTCTCTGGATATTGCTCTTTTCCTCCTAACCTTCATGTACAAACAAGACCAAGAAGAGACTGACAAATCCAATTTAGACACTATTTGAATTTCTGACTCGGGGGGAAAAAGGAATTTTTCAAACCAATGGCACAAACCAGATTTTTTACTGCTGAGCTGCAGTAACCTATGGCATGGAGGTTTCAGGTTTAAGTGCATGTTTGGGGGTTTTTTTCCTATTTCTGAAGAGGACAAATGATTTGTATTTCCAAGCACTTTATAGTTTGAAACCTTTTTGCAGTGCTTAATTAGACCTGAAAGGATTCCAAATTCTTGTGGACTGTATGAAGAGCCAGTACAGTGTGTAGCATCCCCCAAGCACAGCTGAGCACTGTGCTGGGCTCACATCCTGATCAATGACCACAATTGCTGTTTAGTTCATTAAACTATAAAAGATGAGTTGATTTTTTTTTTTTTAAGAGAAACAAACCCTAAATGAATTCCCATTAACAAAAACACCTGCTGAATCCAAACCTAAAACTGCCATGGTTTATGTCTCAGTGAATAACAAAAATGGTGGTGTCGTATCTCCAGGACTTTCTCCAGCTCCACGTCCAATTATCCCCATGGAAAGACCATTCTGACTGCTGGTTTCTGAGGACATAATCTACATGACCCATTTAGGAATTAATGCTGAAAAAAAAAAGCATGAAGCAAATATTTGAAATACTGTAATTATAATTTATTATCTTCTCTAATCGTTTCATTTTATTCCAGTGTATAAAACATGACTTTTTTACTGCTTTCTTTTGACATAATTTAAGAACCACATTTATTTTCTACAGTGTTAAGACTTTTTTCTCAGAAATACATATCTTTGTACTACTATTCAAAGGAATATATGGACACTGTGGCACACTTTAAGTATTTTTTCATTAAAAATAAATATTTGTGGTTTCACACAAATGACATCAGTTATGTTCTTCTCACAGGTAAGTGCCTTTTGCTTTTCCGGGTTCCAGGTGTTTCTCAGACACATTAGATTGGTTTGCAGAGGATCCAACTGTCCTTTCTTACCATAATTAGATGCATATTTGTGTGTGTTTGCAGAAAAACTATTTCTATGGATGTTTATGCACAAGGATCTCATCAAGAGGAAATAAACCTAGTGAGGCCTGAGAATACCAACAGAGATACTGAGGATACATTAGCTTTGGATCTGAAACTAATTCAGAAGTCAAGAGGGAAGTGTTGGGAGGAAAGGAAATAACCTCCAAATGAAACACTAAAAGGTCATTGCTGAGGTTTGAAAACAACATCGAAGGCTCTGGAGTGGAAGTGTTGGATATTTGGCCTCTGAGCTGCCTCTGCCTGAGGTATTTATGGTCTGGATGGCACATGGAGAAGCTGCAGAAGCTAAACTTTAGTTAGAAAACAAAGATCAGGCCGTGGTGTTGGTGACTGGTGATGTTCTCAGTGCAAACACATGTAGCAACAGCAGCCCAGAGCAGCAGAGCAGTGGCTGGAGATGTGGAAAGCAACCAGAGATCCTTTGCTGGGGGCACAGGCTCTTCTCCCAGATAGGATTTGTTTCAGTTGCTGATTCTTTCCCTGCTCCATGGTGCAATGAGGAAGGAATTGGGAGCGAGGACTGTGTTGGCATTATGGATTTAGGAATAATTATGAAGGGGGAAAAAAACAATGCAAAGATAAAGGGAAGGGAGGAGCAGAGGGAAATAGGAAGGGAAGAAGATCATAGAATCATAAAGGTTGGAGGAGACCTCTAAGATCATCAAGTCCAACCACTAACCTGTCACTGCTGTAAACCCCAAACTATATCCTCCAGTGTCAGATCCAGACACCTCTTAAACACTTCAAGGAATGGTGACTCCACCACTTCCCTGAGTAATATTTCAGTGCCTGAACACCCTAGCAGGGAAAACATCTTCCCTAACATCCAATCTGACTCTGCTCTGTCTCAGCTCAAGGCCATTCCCTCTAGTCCTTTCCCTGCAGCCATGGCAGGAGAGACATCCCCCACCTCTCTCCAAGCTGTCAGGGAGTTGGGGATGAACAAAAGCACTGCTATAATGCAGTGAACCCATATCCAACACTGAACAGGTGGAAAGGACCTTGCTCGAGTGTGGATGTGTGAAAAATTCCATCTGGCCTTGGAGAATTGTAGCTCTCCTGCCTGATATGTTTACCTTGGTTGATGAGCAATCATCAGAACTGAAAACAGCCCAAGATGAGGAAGCCCAACACCTCTGCTCCAGCAAACAGCCTAGTGTTTACATTCCTGCCCTTCCAGATAAGTTGTTTAATCAGCTCTTCCTAATTAGGACAATTTCAACATAAAAAAAGGAGAATCTCCTTTTATATTTAGCACATACAAAACATCTCCAAGTGTGCCTGGTTGGTGTTTCAGGACTTGGATTGTGTCGCTGCTGCCTTCTCCCCTTACACCACTGGATCCACTCTGGATCCCTTTTTAAAGGCTGTAAACCAAAGGGGTTAATTCCTCTAATTCTTGTGGTCTGTGTAAACTCTGCTGTTGTCCAGAACATGCTTCAGATTTATGGAATAGCTGTTCCCCTTAGCCTCAGAACATGCTAGTGCTTGCTGACTGCTCTCCATATAAGGGATGAGCTCCTACTTCTAGGTCTGTGTCCTAGTCAGGGAGAAGATAGAGCTGAGGAGGATTGCTGGGAGGAGAAAGGAGAATGAGCATCAATAACTGCTCATTGATTTGCACTTTGCTGAGCTAATGGATGTGTTTGTTTATGATTCTGTTCTAATTTGTAACTCCATGGACCACCTACTACTCTCCAAGCTTAACTCCAAACATGCCTCAAAAGAAGAAATGGAGGTTTATTCTGAAGTGTTGCAGAGATGCTAAGCACACTGGGCTTTTAATCCTCAAGAAACACCTCTCATCCTCCTGCAAAGATGAAACCCTGTTTGAAAAGCAGATTTTGAAGTTGTTAGGAAAAGGATTGCTCTGTTTTCTGCTCTGTGGTGTAACACAGACTCAAGTACAGTCACGTCTCTGCATGCTAAACTCTGAATTTCATGCTTCAAACTTTCTGGTCAGATGGTCTGTGGCATAATATAGAGCTGGAATGTCCTGGCTCCCAATTACTGACTTGTTTTCTTCTGCAGGGGTGATGTTTAGCTTTCCAAGCTGTATTGACTGGTGGTTTTTCTTGAGAAACCAAGATAAGGGAATGTTCTGCACCACTGTCAGTCTCGTGCCTGATACCAGCCTGTTTGCAACACTTGGCCGTGAGCTCTTTGGCCAAACGTGCTGCTTGCAGTGGGTTTGCTACAAGGTCATCTTGGCAGATAACAAGCTTTAATTTTATTATTTTTTCTTAATTCGGTCCTTTTGCTCCTAATTATTGTGTCATGGTTTTACTACAACCTCCTTTCCCTTTATATCCACTCTCTGCTTCCCTGCCAGAGTTCCTGGAGTCAAACCTCCTTGGCTTTGTTTCTCTGTGGCACTCTGACTGGCCAATTTAAATTGTTTTATCTCCTTTCCTAATTAGCATTATCAGACTCAACTGGAACTAGTTTTACATTCTCATACATCTATTTCCCTTGGTTGCCACTTCATCTTCCTGTTTTCCTGCTGTCCTGCTGCTCCTTTCCCAGGCACTTGGCTGTCAAACTCATTCTGCCCATGGCTAAATCGTTGGGAATTGATTTTTTCCCCAGTTTAGTTCATGAATCACTGTGTAAACTGTTTGCAGTTAGGTAGTTAATGTATATTTGTGTGCTGTCTGCCCAGCAAGTTTATTTGGAATTCCTTGTTCCCTGTTTTTCCATTATTAGCTTGGAGATTAGGTTTCTGCCTCTGTACATCATTTTTCTGCTGTATTTGGACTTCAGGTGATTGACCTGTGCTTGTGCAGGGTCAGCTCTCTGCCAGGCATCTTCAGTCACCACCAGAAGCTTTGACACACCAAGATTCAGTTGGATCTGCATTTAATAATGATTTTCCACCAAAAAAACCTTTCCCTTGGTTTGGCTTTTCCTTCCCTCTACCACAGTTACTTTTTAGTGCTGTTGTCTCTTCCCTGCTGCACTCAAACCTCTACTGAAGCTTTGGGTTGTCATTTCTACTTGATTTCTGTCTGCTGGAGTTGACACTTACTTCATGCTTGTCTGAGCATCCTCAGGACTTGAAGGAAAGCTTTGGAACCCATTGAATCCCAAGCGGCACATCCTACAGTTGTGATCCCTGGGACTTTTCCTGAAAGTTCAGCATCAGCAAAACCCATCTGGATGTGTTCAGCTTTCAGGAGGGGTTTGCATGTCCTCTCACTGCATTTGGCTCTGGCTGCTGCTGTCAGCTTCACCCTGGGACTGACAAAGCACTTTCTGTCCTTGTCAATGAATTCTGGCACATTAGCCAGCACTGGAGCTGGGCTGGCCTCTCCCAAGGCTCATTCCTTGCTCCTTGTATTTCTCCTGCATCCCTGGGGGCTCATTTGACCCACACTTTGCTATAGAAACACAATGTTTTGTGTGTCCCTGTGTGCCATTGCAGGAGCACTAAAACTGCCAGTGCAGCTCACAGGGTGTCAACACTTCTCCTCTTCCAAGAGGAGAAATCCTAATCTGTGGAGAGAAATACCTGGCTATTAAGTTGCAGTTCACCCTGGAGGTCAGTGCTCTCTGGTCCCAATGGAAAGCACATTCCAACACAAGGTTTTCCTCTAGAGGGGGGGAAAAAAATCCCCAGCAGCTCTCTAGCAAACCTTGGCCAGTCCTTTCCCTTGGGGAGTGAGAAGTCAGTGAGTTCCCTGCAAACATGAGCTGTCCCAGGAGTCATCTCTTGTGGGTTTGAAATCCTTGATGATTTATCCAAAGAGAGGGTTCTCAATTGACAATTCTGTGAGCATCTGCCACGGATTAACTTCTCTCTTTGTTTCTTAAATAAAATACCATTTCTTGCAGCTACTCTGCCCCTTCCCTGGGGCCTCATTGATTGTGAGCATGAACATAGAGTCCCAGAATGGTTTGGGTTGGAAGGGACCTTAAAGATCATCTCATTCCAGCCCCCAGTGGGGTGGAGATGGGAGAGGTGAACTCCAAACTTCT